CTTCCACGCTCAGCTTCCCCTTCCACGCTCTCACCTCTCGCTCAGCTCTCCTTCCACCCTCAGCTCTCCACGCTCCCGCTTCAGCTCTCCCACACGCTCAGCTCTCGCTCAGCTCACGCTCGGCTCAACGGGCTCAGCTCTCACGCTCAAGCTCTCCCTTCCGCTCAGCTCTCCCTGCTCAGCTAAAGCTCAGCTCTCCTTCCACGCTCAGCTCTCACGCTGCACGCTCAGCTCTCCCTTCCACGCGAATCAAGTCATGTTTAGAACCCGCGTTTGCAACAGATAAAACACTATGTCTATGGGACCTCTGTTTACATTAGTTTTCATCCGATGTACATTGCAATTTTTGTTATATCATCTTTTATTATTGCCTTTGTTATCATCAATACTATCATCATGTTTCTTCTTACTTGCAGTTCTGGTAAATACATGATATACAGTAGTTATCATGGTTATCATTTGAAGCTCATAGTTCTTTTCTCATGAAAATGGTACTTCTAAAGCCATGTCTGTTATGTTGAGAAAATACAGCCATAAGAAAAAAAAATACTATGTAAGCTTACTCACGGATTCGCATCATGGGTCTAGAACACATACATTGTAAATGTATATAAACATGTTTTAATTTGCCTGTAAGTATATATGCGTACACAAACAAGGAGGCGGTAGTTTAGTAAATAATTGTTTGTTATGTGAATGTTGATAAGGACTCTCTTGAAATGAAACAGCCATAGTAAAACTCGAATCGAATCTTTAAACCGTGAGGCTTCGGATCAGACTAGCGCCTCTGTACCAGGCTAGCAGAAGACATAATTCATCACAGTTTTGCAATCTGACGAGGTTTCTAAGTCTTACTCGAAACGTCGTGGTTCACTGTTTCTGTCCTTTCGTACTATGGCTGTATTTAATTGTGCTCTTTGTACACGTTCCTGCTCGAGTTCGTGTTCAAGGATTGACTTCCTCCTCTTCTCTCTCTCTCGCTCGCTCTCTCGCTCTCTCTCTCTCGCTCGCTCGCTTTCTCGCTCTCTCTCTCTCTTTCTCTCTTCTCTCTCTCTCTCTCTCTCTCTCTCTCTCTCTCTCTCTCTCTCTCTCTCTCTCTCTATATATATATATATATATATATATATATATATATATTATATATACATATACATATACATACATACATATATATATATATATATATATATATATATATATATATATATATATGCACAACACATCACAACCACACACAAATAGACAACTCATACACACACACACACACACAGACACACACACACACACACACACACACACACACACACACACACACACACACACACACACATATATATATATATATATATATATATATATATATATATATATATATATATTGTGTTCAAGGATTGACATCCTCCCTCCGCGACCACCGAGTCTTTCTGCCTCACGCTGCGTTGCCAGGACTGCCGAGAAGGGAAGTAGTGTCTGTCATGCGAGAGACCGAGTTTCCAGACTAACAGCTGTTGGTTGAAATTGTGCCAGGCCCGACCCAGGGAATTTTCTTGAACACAGATGCAGAAATAAAGGCGTATCTGTCTATATGTCTGATAGATATGCATTGGATATTTATTTTCCCGGTTGATGTGTATGTCTAGGCTGATAAGTATGTATTTGGTTCTTTTTTATGCATGTCGAGTATACGAATATTCTTTGGGTCGGGCCTCGCACAATTCTAGCAAACCGGCCGTAAGATTCTCTTTATTTCTATTCGATGTATACAGGTCGAGGGGAGATTATATATATATATATATATATATATATAATATATATATATATATATATATATATATATATATATATATATATATATATATATATATATATATATATATATATATATATATATATATTACTAAAGCTCCATTCTAAAGATTTACAGATCTGCAAATCCTGTTCCATCCAGCATTTGCAATCAGAAATGGTCTTAAAATGGTGTTATTTGCCCGACTTATCCGTAAAACACGATAAAAGAAATAGCAGTAAAAATAAATCAGCACAGAGTTCAGATTTACCTCTCCGAACGCACTTTTTTTCGCAACCTAAGGACAAAAGGTCCACGAATCTGCTGCTTGACGCTCCGGCCAACGAGTGTGGTAATAATATCAGTCCAATATTGCGATACCACTTGAGGATGGCTGCGAACGACTGCATCCACAATTGAGGCATTATTAAGGAGAATAGGATGTCATTTGGGCTGCAGGTTTGTGAGCACCAGTTGAGAGGAGAGGCGAGTAAAGGGGAAGAGAAAAATGGATAAATAAACAATTGAATATATATATATAGATAGATAGACAGATAGATAGAGAGAGAGAGAGAGAGAGAGAGAGAGAGAGAGAGAGAGAGAGAGAGAGAGGTAGGGAGGGATATATATATATATAGATAGAGAGAGAGAGAGCTAGAAAGAGAGAGAGATTGAGAAAAAAGAAAGGTTTGTGAGCACCAGTTGCATATCTCCGGCACAGTCAAAGTCCCAAATTTAACACTTCAAGACAAACTCCTTTGTGAATAACCTCCATGTATTCATGTCTACTCATCACAAACCACAGCACATACGCACAGCATTTCACCATAATTATTTCTTTCTTAAAAAGAATAAAAATAAAATCCCCATGACCTTGAGGATACAACGAAGGGCATGACCCTAACTTGCTAGTTTAGACTCTGACCACCAAACGCAGCAGTCAGAATTGTTATTGTTGTTGTTGCTCCCGCCGTTATTTCGCTTCTGCTGTCGTTCTCGCCCCTACCGAAAACACAACACACCTACAGTGACGTAATAGAACAGAAACCCCTTACTGAAGCCTATGCGTGGTGTCAGCGAGGACAGGGTGGCACTGTACAGGCGAGAGGGGAGGGGCTGGGTAGTTAAGAGTACGGGCCGTCAACTAAAGGTGCCTTGACTCTTATACAACGATGTGACCATATTTGTTTACCAATCTACTCCATGTCAGTTCAAGTTAGTTGCTGTTACTGTTGTTTTTGTTGTTCCTATTGTTGTGTAAGAATTTCAGAGAGAGAGAGAGAGAGAGAAGAGAGAGAGAGAGAGAGAGAGAGAGAGAGAGAGAGAGAGAGAGAGAGAGAGAGAGAGAGAGAGAGAGAGAGAGAGAGAGAGAGAGAGAGAGAGAGGAGAGGAGAGGAGAGAAGAGAGGCAAGTAAAGGGAAGAAAATTGATAGATAAACATATATATATGTATATATATATACATACATATATATATGCATATATACATATATGTATATATATATGTATATATATATATATATATATATATATATATATATATATATATATAGAGAGAGAGAGAGAGAGAGAGAGAGAGAGAGAGATTGAGAAGAGAAGGAAAAGATATTGAGAAAACGGGAGAGAGAGAGAAAGCTGTTTTTGTAGTGTAGAACGTTAGAAAAAGAGAGAAAGAAGAGAAAGGGAAAAGAGAGAGAGTTGAGAGGAGAGGCGAGTAAAGGGGAAGAGAAAAATGGATAAATAAACAATTGAATATATATTATAGATAGATAGACAGATAGATAGAGAGAGAGAGAGAGGGAGAGAGAGAGAGGTAGGGAGGGATATATATATAGATAGAGAGAGAGAGAGAGAAGAGAGAGAGATTGAGAAAAAAGAAAGATATAGAGAAAACGGGAGAGAGAGAGAGAGAGAGAGAGGAAAGAGAAAGAAAGAAAGAAAGAAAGAGAGAATGAGAAAGAGAGAACTGCAGAGAAAGGGAAGGACAACTGCAGAATGTAAAAAGAAGCAAAGAAAAGGAAATAGATTCGTGCAGTCCTACTTACGCCGCCTGCCCGCCTGCCCGCCCGCCCGCCCACCTCTGGAGGCCGTGCGGGCGAGTGGGTCGGAGGGCCTTGCGCTGCTCCGAGAGGCCTCACTCAGTCACCGGCCGTTAGAGGGGGAACATCGCCGCCCTTTCGCGCCTCGAAGGTCAGTGTTCCCAGCCCTCTTTGCTTCTGGAACGAGGATCAGCATGTGATTTCAGTTGTGACAGCTGTTAAGGTCGAGAGTAAAATTGAAGTGCACTCAGCAGTGTATAGCATTAAAGTATTGAAATGCTTCATGTAAAAAAAAAAAGAAATGATAATAATAATAAATCAATCAATAAAATAAATCGAATAATGATTATAATAATAACAATATTAATAATAATTGGGACGCGTTCCTTCTGCTAAGAGCGGCTGAGTTCCCTTTGGCCGCTCTTCCCACGAAAACAAGCAGTTAAGCAGGTGAATCCCTTAGCCTTTGGTCCCTCGCCAGACCCGCGTGACGCCCCGAGAGCCTCGCCGCGCAGACATGGCCGACCTCGACGAGAGCCTGGCGGAGGAGGAGCTGGAGCTGGCCCACAAGGTGGAGCTGCCGCCGATCGCCGCCACCCTCAAGGTCGAGCTGGGCCTCATGATCCTGTCGGCCATCGCGGGCGTCTGCGCGAACCTCGCGGCCATCTGGGTGGCCGCGTCGGCGCGCAAGAGCAACGTCATCAACTTGTACGTGCTGCAGCGGGCCGTGTCCGACCTGCTGTACCTCCTGACGGTGCCGGTGCTGGCGGCGCGGATCCTCATGCGCACGTGGGCGTTCGGCAGCGCCATCTGCAAGCTCACGGTGTCGAGCGCGCACATGTGCATCTTCGCGAGCTCGGCCTTCCTGGTGGCCATGAGCGTGGAGTGCTACAGGCACTACGCCCACAACGCGCCCATGGCCCGCACGCGGTGCTTCTACGCGGCCACGACCCTCATCTGGATCGGCGTCGTGTCCCTCAGCGCCTCGCTCATCTCGTACATCGACGTCGTTAAGGGCTACAGCGGCATGTTCTTCTGCACCGTCACCGACTTCAACCTCAAGTTCCTCACCTTCATCGACAGCCTGTCCATCGTGATGGTGATGGTGCCGATGCTGATCAACTGGGGCTGCATCCTGCGCATGGCGGCCGCTCGGAGGGCGTGGAAGCGCATGGGCCTCAGCGAGAAGGCGCTCGCCAACAGGCGCTTCCTGGTGGCGCTCAGCGCGGCCTACACGGTCCTCCTCACCCCCTTCTGCATCACGCGGCTGCTCGGCATGACCTCCTCCTTCAGCCTCACCCTGCTGAGGGCGCTGCAGCTGACCAGCCCGCTCACCTACATCAACGCCACCGTCAGCCCCGTCATCTACCTGCTGCTGCGGCGGCGGCTGACGGCGCCGGGCGAGGGCGAGCGGCAGTCGCAGGAGGCCATCACGTGCGTCGAAATCTCCTCGGACGCGTGAGGAGCCGCGTCGCGCCCGAGGACCTTGGTCTCGCCGAGGAAGGAGTTCGGGTCCGGGAGAGGACGGGGTCTGGGGCCGGCGGCGCGGGTCTCGGCTCCGCGCGCGCCGGGCCATGTGTTCGCTTTGCCTCGTCCGGCCGCGCAGCCCGAGGAGGCATCGCTAAATTGAGTGCGAGCAGAGAGAGAGAAAGAGAGTGAGAGGCCAACCCAAGCGAGCGCCCTGCCGCACGAGGAAACAAAATTCGACTTTCCTAGTATTCCTGAAATTTGTCTTTTATTCCTTTCCACAGTGGTTCATCTTTTCGCAAATGTTTTAGGCGTTACAATGGTTGTAATTGTTGTACATTAACGGAACAAAGGATAGGGAAATAAAGTACATGTACGTAAAAGAATTTATAAGTATTAACAAATACACATGGAATAAACGATATTATATATATGTGTTTTCATTTCCATATGTTAAAATCTATAAGGCGACGGAGCAGAATACAAAGAAAGGATAGAAAGACAGAAAAAGAAGAAAGAAAGAAAAAATCGGAGAAGATACTGAATTGTATGTGATATCTATCTATCTACACACCCACCACAACACACAACCCACACACACACACTGTAGAACCCCATATGAGAGGCCTGCGAAAAGTACAAGATACTGAATTGTATGTGATATCTATCTATCTACACACCCACACACACACACTGTAGAAGCCCGAATGAGGGGCCCAACGAGAGTATGGTAGATGGCAAGCTTAGGATTTAAGCTGGACAACCAAGATGTTTTGACTCATTTATTGAGTGGTAATGTTGGAGCGCGGCTGCTCCTTGGTACGAGGTGTTGCTCCTTGACTCGTCTCCTATACAGTGGTTTAAGGATCACGATAAGTCACGTCTTGAGCAAGTGACAACCGGTGACGAACAAGCAGGCTCTTGCGAAAGGGGAGACAGACAACACAACACTGGAACGTAAAGTGTGGCAAAAAGAGAGAAACAAGCAAGGGATTCTATGGTCAGGCGTATATGCAAATGTATATGTATGTGTGAAGATGTACGATTATATAAATATGTACAGTATAGCAATATCATATAGATATAGCTGGGTTACACATAGAGAGGGAGATAGAAGAGAGCGAGAGAGGAGAGAGAGGATGATATATATATATAATATATATATATATATATATATATATATATATAATATATATATAGAGAGAGAGAGAGAGAGAGAGAGAGAGAGAGAGAGAGAGAGAGAGAGAGATATGCATTAGATACACACACACACTCAGACAGGGGGAGATAGAGTGTGTGTAAAAGAGAGAGAGAGAGAGAGAGAGAGAGAGAGAGAGAGAGAGAGAGAGAGAGAGAGAGAGGAGAGAAAGAGAGAGAGAGAGAGAGAGAGAGAGAGAGATGCATTAGATACACACACACACTCAGACAGGGGGAGAAAGAGTGTGTGTAAAAGAGAGAGAGAGAGAGAGAGAGAGAGAGAGAGAGAGAGAGAGAGAGAGAGAGAGAGTGAGAGAGAGACATCCTGCAACGCACGTGTTAGCGAGACTGATACCAACGAAGGCATCAGCCACAGGTCTCGAAGCCCCGTGGCGTGGAGCCGAAGGAGGCAGGAGACGCCGCTGGCCCCAGAGGAGACACAGACGAGGCTCATCTCGCGTCTAAGATGAGCTTCGTCTCTTTCGTGGATGCTGGCCCTGGAAATTCGTCTGCTAAACGGAAATAAAAGACGACCGACGGATGGTGACGTCACAATGGATTTTTTTTCCCCAGATGGACTTATTTTTGTTATTTTGTATGACTACAGATGGTTTGATGTGAAAAAAATCTAAAAACAATATTGATAAAACAATATTTTCCCATGTTCAAATCAGACATCAAAATTGCTGAAACCATCCTGGTAGGAATTTATAGGATTTGACAGACCGATCGTGATTTTTTTTTAGATATATTTTTGTTTTTTTTTTTTTTTTTTTTTTAGATAAATCAAGTTTACAGTTCAATATCGCATTTTCTTAAGTTATACAACTAAAACATTTTCTATAAAGAGATGCAGGTGCATTTTATGCTGTTGGATGTTATTATTTGCTTGGTAATGTATTTGATGTGTATTGGTTTAATGTATTTAATGTATATTGCAGTGCAATGAACAAGAAAGTAACGTAGGGAATCTTATAATCACCAGACTTTGACCCTACGCACTGTACTGTA